TGTGCTCTTCCGTGTTTCATTTGAAATATTCTTTTGGTTTTGTTGTTTTTATTTTTTTTGTTTACCTTTGTAATTGATTGGGGGCGAAAAAAAAATTTGTGCCCAAAAAAAAAAAAAGCAAAATTCTCTTTAAAAAAAAACAAAAAAACAAAAAAAAAAAAAAAAAAATTTTAAAAGATGGATTAGTAGATTATTTGAGGAACCCCCCCCCCCCCCCCCCAAAAAAAAAAAATAATAATAAAACAGGAAAAAACAAAGATGTCAATCAATGGATATAGGCTAGTTTCAACAAGTAAACGCATTCAACCGGTTGTGCCTGCCTCGTACCCAGACGTCTCTCTCTCGATGAAAATGCGCGCACAAAGGAAGGCGGGAAGCTGTGTGTACCCTTCCCATGGTCCCTTGTGGTTCATCACCAGTCGCTCGCCTCTACCCTGCGAAAAACGAAGCGCATGAGGAGGAGGCTGCGGTTGTGCATTGACAGTTTTTGACCACACGGCAGTTTGTGAGAACCCTTTTTAAAATATGGACAGCCTTAACTTCTAGTTGCTTGGACTCTTGCGGACAAAAACCGTACCCTGAAAGAAAACGTCTTTACCGAAATTTATCTAGCCGAACACTTTTCATAACCAATGATTGCTCCTGGTATCTTCTTTTAAACGTGCATTGTCCTTATTCTCAGGCACAGTTTAAGAACGTCCCGTGGGATGCAAATTCCATCGTGGTTTTCCGGGTGTACATACAGCCAGGCGATTCATCAGCTTCCGGTAATTCCACAGCACAGACGGGGAATATTGTGGATGAAAGTAAACTGGCTGCGTGGACTGCTGTACCTCTGGCATTGACCGCGGGCTCACATGTATCTAGACAAAGTCGTCAATCTGGAGGTATTTGAGTCAATATTTGTTTTGTTTTTGTTTTTGATTTTTTTTTTTGATGGTTCGCTGAAAACAAAAGAAAACAAAACAAATAAGGTATATACATGTATCATGTAGACTGTGCGGAGACAACGAAATCGTTCATTTCCATTTGCTCCAGATAAAGTTTGCAGATTTCATTTGATTTAATATCATGTATCCAAACGGCGATTACTTCAATAGAAGGCATTTACCTTGAAAACTACATTGTGAGTACCTTTTTGAACTTAGGCCTTTGTGCCGAAGCCCTTTCAACCCTGCATTTCTGACATTGTTATGTGTTTTGTTTTAGGTAGCCGAGGTGGTTCAGCACGTCTTAACGTCGGAACTCATAATCTTCCTCTCTTTTTTCCGCCCGTTGTAGAAGTACCTAACATTCCCTTACGGGTAAGCAGATTTTTACTATATTCAATTTAATTCTCTTCGCCCTTGGTGAGGTATAAGGCCCCAACTAATCTCGTTTAACTCTCCCGATTTTTTACCTTGTCCATGCCGTCTATCGTGTTCCCATTCGCCCCGATACAAATCCCCGTTTGTATAGAAATACGCTCCGTAACCGTGTCTTAAGTCGTCTTTCCAGCTTCCCTCGTACTTCGCGCCGTCCGGGTACAGAAACGTACCTTGTCCGTTTTTCTTGTTGTTTTCATAATGACCAAGGTAACATGCATTTCGCGTTTTTCCTTTCAGTTTCTTAAACACGTATTTGCCATAACCACTGCGATGTCCGTTCTTGTATTCACCCTCGTATACATCGCCGTTAGGGAGCCTTGCCTTTCCCTTCCCGTGTCTTACGCCATTTTCATTCCGTCCGCCTTCGTACGTATAAGGCAAAATTTCGTTCTCGGAATCCATATCTTCATCGGACTCACGAAGTGTTTCCATGCCACCAGGAGTAAGACCAGCGAATTATTTACTGTTTCAAAAGAATATTCCTTTGGAATGTTTTTTTTTTTTTCGCTTCGATATAAAAAGCGAGAGGTTTTCGTCTCTTTGTCTACGAGCGTAAATCAAATTAAGCGGTGTTTTGCCAGAGACCAAAACATCAACACTGTCGTAATGAAGAAATCTTCGCTGAAAGAACTAACTGTATGTCGCGCCAGATTCTGTTAATCTTTTAACCGTGACGGATGGTCGAATGGCGTTCGAGATCGTTCGCAAATTGGCAAAATTGGTGCGATTGGCGTTAATATTTTAAAAGTGTTTTTGTTTTTGCAAAGTAGAGTCTCTCGCCACAAAGGCAAGGTGCTTTAATTTAACGATTCCTGAATATTTCAATTCGTTCTTCACTGACAAACGTGGGGATCCAAAAAACCGCATAATCGCATCCTAAATAATTAATTGGCTCAAGAGTTTTTTTGCGGTAGCCCTTTTAAATTATCTATATTATGGAAACAAGGATAATTTCTAACCATTTTTGGAAAGATATCCCTCAGGGTGATGTTGTTGTTCTGTAAGGCAGCTTATCGCTTGATTATCCGAAAGCTTTTAGCGTGTTATTGGCTGGGAAGGAACTAACAACAATTGCCTTCAATTAAAATCTACTAGGCACTAAGCTGCAAAATAAAATACTCTTTTTTTTCTCTTTTTTTTTTGTCATCGTTTAAAATGAGTGCGTTGAAGAACGAAATCGGCTGTAACGTTTACTGCAAAACGTGACTGTTTTCGTTGCGTATTTCTTTTGCGCTAGATTGCCAATGGAGACTATACTTTTTTTTTCTTCTCATTCTCTTTGTCAGCTTTAATATTTCATCGCTATAACCTATAAACTGCGGTTTTCATTATGACTTGCGAAACTTTTCGCTCAGTTGCTAAAGCACTTGTAATATTAAATCGATTTTCCCTTTTTTTGAAGGTTTTAGTGTTTGGTAAGCATGTCATTATTTTGATTAGTGTGCAGTCATTATTTATTATAAACTGCACTCCTTTTTTATTTAAAGTGGGAATGAAGAGCAGATTTGTCATATAATTAATAACTTCGCCTCTGTTGTCTGGCAACCATAAATAAGCAATAAGCTTATGCCTGTTAAAGAAACAATTTGCCAAATTTACTTATATAAACATTCGATCAATTGAACGTGCATCAAACTGAACAAACTATATTTAAGCAAATCTTTTTTTTTTTGCTAAATCCTCTATATTTGATCTTTAGGAAATACTCTGGAATCA